CTCTTGATAAGAAACAGTTGTGACTGGTTTATTTTATCTAAATTATCTTTTGAAAATGCACTAATATTGTTCATGATGATGTATTTTGTGTTTGTTCTAGAACGTCTGTTCTAATAAATATTACATGATATTTTTATCTACCATAATCTTGGTAGCAAATGAAATTCCACTCAAAATACTCGTATTAGACCAAATCATTTGGTTCTATATAAGCCTTACTGATGTTCTCCAACACCTTGGTGATCGATTGGATAAATTAGGATGGATTAACGATTGAAATCAAATTACTTTCCTGATGGAAGTCGATAATACAATAAAAGTCCCTGAATCAGATTTTGTTTGATTGAGAATTTTATCGATTGAACAGATTGAAATCGATTATCGATGAAAATTGAATTAGAGCGACATAATGGAGAATAATTGGCGAAATAGATTATTTTTCAATCAATTTATAAATTTTCACCAATTTCAATCGGATTTTCTGCGTAAAGTGGGAGACCCGTCCAAAGAAATGAGATTTTGACATTAGTGATCAAAAATAATCGTGATTATCTCATGAATATTTTTCGCGGGGATAAGCTTTTATTTTCGAGACTAAATCAGAATTATTACATAATAATATTTATGACAACTCATATTCTAGAAGTTGTTAAATCAACCGAATTTTATTTGCTTTGTCAAAGATTCTGCTTAGATCATTGTCGTCGCTAACATATAGTTGAGCTAAATTTGAATGAATCCAAAGAATCGGCTGATCGATGCGTGCTAATGTTGCCAAATGATCATGATGACGGTTACTCGTTGCGGAATCTTTTTTAATAAATATTGGAATATATTTATCGACTTTATATTCGAAACTGAGTCGAATTTCAAATGACATTGAGCGTTGTCCTTTATTTTTCCTTAATCTTAAGCCGGCTGTACCATGCCATGGTTGTCGATGCAAATTTGGACCACATTTGATTAAAAACTGTTCACAATTCGATGGCTTATTATGGATACTTAGTCGAACTGTACCCGGTAGTAAAAATTGTATATCATCCAATTGGTAGTCATTTTTTGCGGATGTTTGTGATTCATATGAACATATGTATCTAGTTGCATTGATTAAGCATGAAAATAACAGATGTTGTCTTAATAATTCACGATTGGTATCACCAACTTGAGGTTGATAGATTTGAGCTAAGATTTTCAATTCATCACTTGATGAGAGTTGAGCATCAGCTAATTCAGGATGATAACGACTATGTAATATTGGCTCGATCAGTTGAGATATGTTACTGTTCAACGACAGTTTATCAACTAAAGCGAGAAAATTTTCCCGTGTTGTACAAAACATTAAATCTGATTTTGCTTGAAAAAATGGTTGTGAAAATTTTTCAAATTTATCTGAATACACTTCAGCTCGTTGTTTAATAAACATCTCTAAATCTTGGCGATGTGCATATTCTTGCTCCAACTGTTCATGTGACGTTAATATAATGTTTTCACTGATACCCAATTGTACTACTATTTGATTTAAACATCTTGAATATGCCTGAATATGTTCATTCAAATCGGTATCATAGCAGGCATATCGACGAGCATCTTGTACGACAAAGAGACGAATTGATTTTGTCTGAACTTGAATGACTTCTGTAATTGATTGTAGAAACCATGCAACCGTGCAATTACGGTGAGCCAATTCACGTAGTAATAGTTCAGCCTTTTCAACATTTGCCACATTATAACCATTATTTAATTCTTCTCGTAATATATCGAGTCGAAAATGATTGTCTTGTCGTTGTTGTGAATCAATGATACTTGTCTTTTCTGTTGTTAAAATTGTTTCAATACTTTTTTGTACATCAGCAATTGTTTTCACTGATGCATCGACTTTTTTAAATATTTTAATTAAAATTAGAGCAAACTGTTCTGTTGCTATTAGCATTGCCTTGACGATGGACCATAGCTGTAAGAGGGAAATAACTTCTCCTAAGTCCGGTAAATAACCATCATTTTTAGCCTTATTTCGATCACGATTTGGCAACATAAGAATAGAAAATCTTAAACCGTCACTGCTTGTTAAAGCATTTCTTATTAGCATTTCACGTCTTTGCAGAAATTTGTCTTCCGACGGAATTGAACCACGACGAATGCCATTACTAAACAAAATTTCAATAATTCGATGAGCGAGCGTTGTAGATGTAGCTGGCCCCCATCGTTCTGTTCGATTTGCTACAGTTGTAGCTATTTTTTCAGCTAACGTTTCAGCTTCTTGTTTCATTTTCGGATATATTACTTTTAGTACAAATTCCGGAGTTATTTCAAAACTTTGGCAATGTAATTCATTTCGCCAATTGCTGCTTGATACGTAATGGTCGAATTCTTGTTCTAATTGTTTGAACAAATCGTACGTACCCAAATCCGAGTTGTAAGTTGTACTTCCGGTAGACATTTTTGTGTATAGCCAGATGACATTTATTTGACTGATAAACTGCGTATGCCATCCTGATATATATATATACTTGCTACTCTTTCTAGAAATCATATTAGATAACAACGTTCTTCCTTTAACTCAGGAAGTTGGAAAAATCGAAAGCAAACAAGTCTATTTTGTTTTATGTTTTCATCACTTTCCCTTGTTTAAAATACGAATGAATGCATCTTCTACCTAGCAGCTTTTTTCTGTGGTCCATGATAGCAAAGCTGATCGTGGAACAAATATATTCTGATATTATAAAAGAATGCTATTAAGTTGGAAAGACTCTGTGTTCGGTCCTTCAAAAAGACGGAAATTCAATTTGTTCCGTCATTATGACATACACTGAAAAAAGGTACACTACGGCACCCATGAGGTTTCATATTACTTTACCATACATTATAAGGTATCGTACAAACGCACTAAATCTTTTAAAATTTTCGAAACGTCTTAGGCTTCGTGTAAAACCAATAAATGTTTTCCAAGTAGAAAAAATTTCTTAGTGTACTTTTGAAAGGTATCGCAGTCAAGAGGTTCCGTACCAAACTTAGGTTTTCGTTGTCTTATCTATAATATAGAGAGTGCGGGTGTGTTAGTCTTCCCTTTACTGACACCTACCCACACCCACACACCACACCCACACCCCACACATACACCCACACCCACCCACACCCACGCCCACGCCCACGCCCACGCCCACGCCCACGCCCACGCCCAC